GCCAGGGCGCCGGCCAGCGCGCCGGACACCACGTGGGAGGAGGGGTTGTACTGTCTGTGGGGGTTGAGCAGCTCCTGGAGGTACTCGTAGGTCATGAAGTGGAGCGCCTGGAAGGGCACGTTCATGGTCAGCTGCGTGGTGTAGCTGCGGTAGAAGGCGGCCGGACCCTCGCGCCGCAGCAGGGAGCCCACGCAGTCCAGGACCCCCCGGTACGGAGAGTTGAACATCTGGATGCGCTGCTTGACGACTGCGGGGGGGGGGGGAAAGGAGGAAGAGAGCTGGAGTGAGAGCCTGACTCCAGCATCCTAACAAATCTGCTCTCTAGCGCCTCCGTTTCCAAATGGGTTTAGCAGCTACGCTAGCCGTCAGGCATCAAGAAGTAACGACAACATAACCTCCACATCGTACAGTTTTCTCTGGTGATGAGGTTCGGAATTTAAAAGAAACGACAAACTGCATTGAATCGTTAGTGTGAGCAGGTAATTCCTCCTCCAACGAGATAGAGAATTACGTTTCCATGTTAGCTTTTTTTTTTTTTTGTAGCTTGCCGTTACTAGCCTATGTCTTCGCTAGCGTTAACTAACAGCTTGAGACACAACGAACAAACTAATGTTACAGTCTGAATCACAGACTAAAAAGCATGAACTCTGCTAATTAGTAGCCATATATTCTCTATATGTTTATTTTTCAATAAACGTGCATTGTTACAGCTGGTTTCAGTCATGTGACTATGAAGGAAAACATGTTGTGGATCAGCTAGACAGGCAGACTAGTGCTTTATGTCCCTCTCTGCCATTATAGTTTTTCAAAATGCCAGATCGCCATGGAAACCTCCGTGGACTTACCCGTCCTGTGTATGTACAGATATGAAATTCTTCCTTATGAGAAGTCAAATCATTGCAGAGGTCATTTTACACCAAATCAGGACACATTTGTAAACACAGACAATGATTTTAACTAATAAAATACTTAAAATACTACACAATGTCCGTGTAAAAGAGGAGGAGGTGAACTGTGTGGTCACAGACCCCCCCCACCGGGGCTTCCTGTGTGTGAGGCTGCCTCTTTACCTTCGGCTGGGTTCATGATGGCGTCGTGCAGCACCGTGGCCATGCAGCCGGCCACTCCTGCCCAACACAGAGCAACAAAGGTCAGCGCCCGCTCCCCCTTTCCACCACCACCCCCCCCTCCCTCCCCCGGGGGGTCATCTCACCGTTGGCGAAGTGGCTGTTGGTGCCCGGGTGGATGGCGTCGCTGAGGGAGAACTTGATCTTCTCGTAGCAGGCGAAGTAGAGCGCGTGCGCGGGGCCCGCCCCCACCGCCAGCACGTTCACCCCCCGGATGGGCCGCCACACCCCCTCCGTCTGGACGATCTGCCGCAGGGCGTCCATCACGTTGCGGTA